TCGAATCCCCACCATCGGTACGATGAAAAAGAATGTTGGTCGAAAATCAATGAATCAGAGAAAAAGCAAGTGAGACGACCGAGACAAGAGAAAGAAAGGCAAATAAATACTACAGAAGAGAACAAGACGCGCGAAGAAGACGCAGAGTTGTTATTTAGTAGTAGCGAAGAAGAGAAGAAAAGCAAAAAAATAAAGAGAACGCGAGCCGCGTGAGAGCATCAAGTAGCTCAGATAACTTGCAAGACACGAGTCAGCGCTACTCTAGATTTGATAACCTTGCCAATAAGGAAAATGAAAAAAGGAAAAATGGATGTTTTGTTGGATACCCTAACACTTGTTGCTACTCTAGCACTTGTTAAAGTAAGAAATTTAAAAGAGACTAAGCGAGAGGAACGAATAGCTCTCACTGGCATGACAGGACACAAGATTCACATCCTCGATAAGATTCGAGTTACGATTGTCTTCGGAAATGAGGAAATAAGACACATTATGTATATAATAAAAGATGACTGTCCGGTCGCTTACGAAGGAATTCTCGGTATAGATTTCTTAAAGAAATAACACGCAAAATATGATCATGCAAAAGAAATATTGCGAATTAGAAGCATAAATCTAAAATTGCATCCTCACAAGAAGTATATTCTAACGTTTCGCAGTGAAATCATTGTACAAGCTATTACTAGCTAGTATTACTAGCTCGGAAGTCAGAGTGGAATAGTGAAATCTGAAGAAATTGAACCAGGAATATTTATTGGTAGTTGCCTGGTAGAATCTGATGATTATATTTGCCCAATAAATATAATTAATACAACTACCGAAATTATTGAAATTACATTACACCGAGCGTAACGTTAGACGCCGTGCAGCTGGATGACGCCGCGGAGATTTTCACGTTATACGATAGCAACGGCCGTAATATACAGTCACAGCAGGAATACTTACAAAAACTTACTTAAATACTTACAAAAACTGTTACGAACAGAACATCTAAATCACGAGGAAAAGAAGACATTAACGCAGATATGCTCTGACTTTTGCGATATATTTCACGTGGAGAACGATTCACTGACGCTACGACAATAGCACATGAAATAAATACATGTAGCGATAGCGCGCCTGTAAATGTACGATCCTATAGATTGCCGGAGAAACATAGGCAAAAGTAAATCGAAACCCAAATAAGAAGAGAGGGTGTGCATCACGGCGGGGCCCGATCACAAACCGGTCGTGAAAATTCGTAATTATTTTGCGAAAAATATCACCTCAGCCAGGAATTGAATCTGGATTTCCTGCTTACCGGACAGGTATCTTATCCTTTCGACCACAGAGACATGGGATGATATTTATCGCAATAAGAACAACACATCAATAATACAATGTATTGTAATATATGGATATACATATATATCCATATATATCCATATATTACAATATACATATATACATGTATATTCTCTCGAATCCTCACGAGCGGTACTCCAAAGCGATGTTGGTAGATTAAAAAAATGTTAGATAACAGAATAATACGTCACAGTATCAGTCAATGGAATACGCCATTGCTAGTAGTACTCAAAAAAGTGAATGCTGAAAAACAAAAACTACGCATCGTAGTAGATTATAATCGAAAATTAAATGATTTAATAATCGGAGATTTCTTTCCACCAAATATAATAGACATCCTAGATCAGCTGGGAAATGCAAAGTATTTTTCAACATGAGACCTCGCATCCGGATACCATCAAATTCCAATGAAGGAAGAACATAAAAGTAAAACGACTTTTTCTACACCGTATGGATACTATGAATTTAATAGAATGCCATTCAGACTTAAAAACGCGCCCGCTACACTCCAACGGTGATGAACTCGGTGTTAACTGGAATTCAAGACCTCAGATATCTAGTTTATCTCGATGATATAGTAATATACAGTGCAACATTGAACCAATACATACGACTAACTGAAGTAATGCAATGACTGAGAGACTATAATTTTAAGTTGCAATCGGATAAATGCTTCTCAGTTTCTCAAAAAAGAAGTTACTTATCTAGGACATATTATTACGGAAAGTGGGATACAAGTTGAGATACTTGATCCCAACAAATTACAAGCAGTAGAAAAATTTCCAACACTAAAAAAGGTGAAAGATATATAATAGAATTTAATTAAGCGGATAAACGGAAGACGCATGTTCTGTTACGCTGTTACATCGCGATGATTACGCAACTGATCTCTTCCGGGGATCGGTTACTAGAATTCGGCTAAGCGGATAATCCCTATTATCCTAATCGCGGAAGAACAACAAATGTACAGATCTTTTTTTTCAACGAAATCACATATAGCGCCCTTAAAGACACGAGAGCACTTGTTTCTTTCATTCAGTTCGATCTGGTTCTTTTTTTTTCATTCGATACACTTGATGTCAACGCATAGCTTAATTAAACAGTGAGCAAGTGTTCCTGGCGACACCGCTTCCATTACCATCGCCCCTTCGGTTTCCAAGTTTCTGTCAACTAAGTAACAATAAGTTTAATTTACATAATTCTCGAATAACAATTTTTCGGGTCTCTTCTCCTTATATTCTCTTCTTTCTCCACGTCCTTTTTATCTGCAAAGATTTCCGAATTTCGAGGAAAGCCCTGGAAGGTTCATGGTAACCGAATAATCGGCACATCTTTTTCTCTTAATACTCCTCTCTTCTCTCCTTACTGATTCACTTGTTTTCCTAGTGAAACCCAAGGCACTGACTTCGAAATCGCCACGATCTAAACGCTCCCTGAAACGTTTGAGAAATCGGCGAAATAGACGAGTTCGACAAGCGGCCATTAACATCACGAGGGAATCGAACCAGAATTTCACAAAAACCGCGGAACCGCGGAACCGCGTTATACGAATCTACCATTCCAGAATCTCTCCTCGAACTCTCTGCTTGCCCTCTCCCCGACGTCCTCTTCGAACCCCTGAATCGCCCCTTTTCTCCTATAGCACCCAGTTACTTGCTTGAACCACCATCCCCCACGCAACCACCCCTTCTAGATTTTGCGACTTATCTCCAAGTCCCTGGGAACAAGAAGAATATTCTTTCCTCCTGAT